GCGAGAGAAAGGGAAGAGGGAGAGGAAGCAGAAATAGAGAGCGAGAGAAAGGGAAGAGGGAGAGGAAGCATATAATGAGAGGGAAACAGAGAGAAAGAAGGGAAGAGGGAGAGGAAGCAGAGAAAGAAGGGAAGGGAAGAAAGAGAGAGAGGAAGCAGAGCTAAAGAGAGAAAGAAGAGAAGGGAAGAGGGGAGGAGACAGAGCTAAAGAGAGAAAGAAGAGAAGAAAAAAAGGGAAGAGGGAGAGGGAGCAGAGAGAGAAGGGAATAGGGAGTGAAGGCAGAGAAAGAGTGAAGAAAAGGGAAGGAGGAAGCAGAGATAAAGAAGGGAAGGAAAGAGGGAGAGGAAACAGAGAGAGGAAGCATTTAATGACAGAGAAAGAAGAGAAGGAAGAAAAAGGGAAGAGGGAGAGGGAGCAGAGAGAGAAGGGAATAGGGAGTGAAGGCAGAGAAAGAGTGAAGAAAAGGGAAGAGGAAGCAGAGATAAAGAAGAGAAGGAAAGAGGGAGAGGAAGCAGAGAAGGAAACAGGGAGAGGAAGCATTTAATGACAGAGAAAGAAGAGAAGGAAGAAAAAGGGAAGAGGGAGAGGGAACAGAGAAAGATGAGAATGGAAGGGGAAGCAGAGACAGAGAAAGAAGGGAAGAGGGAGAAGGACTAGAAAGAGAGAGAGAGAAGAGAAAGGAAGCGGGAGCAGAGATAGAAGAGAAGCGAAGAGGGAGAGGAAGCAGAGATAAAGAGAGAAAGAAAGAAGAAAAAGGGGGAGAGGAAGAAGAGAAGGAAAGAGGGAGAGGAAGCATATAATGAGAGAGAAACAGAGATTATAGAAGGAAAGAGGGGGGGAGGAAGAACAGAAAGAGAGATAAAGAAGAGAAGGGAAGGGGGAGAGGAAGCAGAGAAAGTGGGAGAGAGAGAGAGAGATAAAGAAGAGAAGGGAAGAGGGAGCAGAGATAGAGAGGAAGAAGGAGCAAAAATAAAAAAAAGGGAAAAAAGAGAAAGGAAAGAGAGAAGAGGACGAACAGAGAGGATTATGGAGAGAGGGGGTAATAAAAAGTGAGGAGTAAACTTGAGAAGATGAGAGAACAGAGAGATATATGACTGAATAAAGAGAAGGGAAAGAGAGAGAAGAGTGATAGAGAGAGAAACATGGAAGGAGGGGGGGGGGGGGGGGGGGTGTAATAGAAAGAGAAAGGGAGTGAGCAGGAGAAGATAATAGAAAAAGAAAAGAACAGAACAGAGAGAGAGAGATAAGAAGGAGGGTAGGGGACAGATTGGGAGAGAGAAGAGAAACAAAGCAGAGTAAGAAAGAGAGCAATAGAAATGATGGGGGAATGAGAGAGGAACATGGACAGAAAGTGAGAGGGTTGAGGGGATGGGGGGGTTAGATAAAGAGAGAAATGGAGGAGTGAACCACAGATGATGAGAGAAAGAGAGGGAGCAGAGATAAAGAGAAAGGAAAGAGGAAAAAGAGAGAGGGACATTGAGAGAGGGTAAAAGAGATGAAAAGGGATGAGTAAACTGGAGATGAGAGAGAGAAGAGGAAAAGAGTGAGGATGGGGGAGAGAAAGAAAGAAAAAGGGGGGGGGGGGGAGAAGAGAAAAGTGAGAACAGAAAGTGGAGAAAGGATTAAAATGAGAAAATAGAGGGAGAAAGAGAGACAAAGAAGTGAGTAGAAGAGGAGAGTTAGAAAAGACAGAGACAGGAGAGAGAAAAAGAAGAGGAGAAAGAGAGGCAAAAGTCTTGTTTTCTTCCTTCAGTAGTGATATATCTGATACAATGTAGCACCCAATATTTCCTGTTATCATGGGCCTCATTCACATCGATCTCTAGATCTGGGTTCCCCAGTCTAGCGTGGAGGATGATGGAAGGAATGTGATGGTTGCTGTAAGAGACACAGACAGTTGGACTTCAGACTCGTACAAGGGCCATTGTATTCATTCTGTTATTACATCCTGCCTTGATCAGTATTGTTCCTGTGGTGCTCCAGATGAAGAGGAGCATTACGATCCATCATCCAGGTCCATCACTCACCACAGGAGAAATATAAAAGTACAGCTTTCATTTCCACCCCAGACCGTATACATTGTGTATTTGCAGTCTATATATAAAATGCTTTCTTGCCAATCACTGTGCACCAAGTGCCATATCTAGGAGACCACCAGACTGTCCAACCTGAGCCACCAATCTCTAACATTTCACAAGTAAAATTCAGCGACTCAGAACATCAACCCTGGAGGAGATCATTACAGGGAAATCTATGGATAGGAAGTATAAATCACTACAAGCCTCCTCTCTCTCTACTCTCCACTCATGTTTATATGGCTTCCACCCACTCAATGGATGGAGAGGAGCAGCATTAGGGGTATCAATAATCCACACCTTCCTTTGTTGCTGTGTTCCTTTCTTCAGCACAACAGGTTTTGTGTGAATGGATGTGTCCCAGCTTCAGTATCACAACCACAGACCAGATAGAGCACCACAACCATTGACCAGCTTCAGACCCAATGATCAGCACCATCACCTGACACCTGGTCAACTTAAGCATCACCCTGAATGGACAGCTTAATTACAGGACAGCTCTTTTAAGAGTTGGACATCTTCAGTGCCAGAGCAAATGAACAGCACCACAGTCAGTCTACAGCTCCATCACCTAACAGCTGGCCAAATTCAGCACCAGAGTCAATGGACACCTCCATCACCAGAACCAATGGTCAGATGAGTCACCTAACAGTTGGTCATCTCCAGCACCACAGTCAATGGACACTTCCATCACCTAACAGCTGGACAGCTTCAGCACCAGACCCAATGGACAGCTCCATTACCTAGCAGCTGGTCAACTTCAGCACCACAGTCCATGGCCAGCTCCATCGCCAGAACCAATGGACAGCTCCATCATCTAACAGCTGGTCAATTTCAGCACCAGAGTTAATGGACACGTCCATCACCAGACCCAATTGACAGTTCTATCACCAGACCCAATGGACAGCTCCATCACTTAACAGCTGGACAACTTCAGCACCACAGTCAATGGACAGCTTCATCACCAGAACCAATGGACAGCTCCATCACCCAGCAGCTGGTCAGCTTCAGCATCACATTCAATGGACACCTCAATCACATAACAGCTGGACAGCTCCATCACCATAACCAATGGCCAGCTCCATCACCCATCAGCTTCAGCATCACATTCAATGGACACCTCAATCACATAACAGCTGGACAGCTCCATCACCAGAAGCAATGGACAGCTCCATCACCCAGCAGCTGGTCAGCTTCAGCACCAAACCCAATGGACAGCTACATTACCCAACAGCTGGTCACCTTACCCAATGGACAGCTCTATCACCTAACAGCTGGTCAACTTCAGCGTCACAGTCCATGGACACCTCAATCACATAACAGCTGGACAGCTACATCACCATAACCAATGGACAGCTCCATCACCCGTCAGCTTCAGAATCACATTCAATGGACACCTCAATCACATAACAGCTGGACAGCTCCATCACCAGAAGCAATAAACAGCTCCATCACCCAGCAGCTGGTCAGCTTCAGCACCAAACCCAATGGACAGCTACATTACCCAACAGCTGGTCACCTTACCCAATGGACAGCTCTATCACCTAACAGCTGGTCAACTTCAGCGTCACAGTCCATGGACACCTCAATCACATAACAGCTGGACAGCTACATCACCATAACCAATGGACAGCTCCATCACCCGTCAGCTTCAGAATCACATTCAATGGACACCTCAATCACATAACAGCTGGACAGCTCCATCACCAGAAGCAATAAACAGCTCCATCACCCAGCAGCTGGTCAGCTTCAGCACCAAACCCAATGGACAGCTACATTACCCAACAGCTGGTCACCTTACCCAATGGACAGCTCTATCACCTAACAGCTGGTCAACTTCAGCGTCACAGTCCATGGACACCTCAATCACATAACAGCTGGACAGCTACATCACCATAACCAATGGACAGCTCCATCACCCGTCAGCTTCAGAATCACATTTAATGGACACCTCAATCACATAACAGCTGGACAGCTCCATCACCAGAAGCAATAAACAGCTCCATCACCCAGCAGCTGGTCAGCTTCAGCACCAAACCCAATGGACAGCTACATTACCCAACAGCTGGTCACCTTACCCAATGGACAGCTCTATCACCTAACAGCTGGTCAACTTCAGCGTCACAGTCCATGGACACCTCAATCACATAACAGCTGGACAGCTTCAGCACCAGACCCAGTGTACAGCTCCCTTACCTAGCAGCTGGAGAGAATCAGCACCACAGTCCATGGACAGCTCCATCACCTAACAGCTGGACAGCTTCAGCACCAGACCCGGTTACCAGGTCCGTCACCTAGTAGCTGAGTGGTTTCAGCACCACAGTCTATGGACACATTCATCACCTAACAGCTGGACAGCTTCAGCACCAGAGCTGATGGAAAGCTCCTCCGTCCAAACTCACCTAAACAAGCTTCCAGCTGAGATTTCATCACATTCCTCCCATCAGAGCCCACTGTACCGGCAGCTGGATGAGCCCTTCCCATCATCCATTACCATGTGAAAGTCATTGCATATCGGATAAACCATCTATGTTACTGCAGAATAATTCCCCGATTCATGAGCAGAACTGAAAAGCTGATACACAATAGTTCCCATAATGGGCAGAATATATTATCACACGGGGAACAGTGAAACCTTTTCTTGTCACATTGTGAAGCACTCTGATGTGTTACTTCTCTATCACTAAGTAGAGGGTTGGAGGGGATTCTCACAGCAGGGCACACAAAGATGTGTAAAGATCCCGCTAATGTCTTCCCATCTATCACAGGGATGCTGCTGGATCTCCAGATGCTGGTTACTAAGCAACAACATCAAAAACACAATAAAAACTGAGGTACCACCTGGTCAAGCTCAGCTTAGAGCCAACAGGGGGCCCTTAGAGAGCTGCAATGATATCATTTCTAGATGCAGAGCCCCTCACTCACCCTCAATACAACAGATTCTCCAGAGTCCTGAGTGGGTGAGGTCCCCCTTGGTCTTCTTGGGTTGGCTCTGGGGGTCGTCCATGGTGAAGTTGGTCCCGTTGCAGATGTGAGCCCGGGAGTAGAGCCAGTAGTCGGTGCCAATGGCTATGGTCATCAGACTGAAGGCTGCAAAAGCCCCTATGGTGGTCAGCAGCATCTGGACCCCACGATCACACCAGCCCATGGTGCCTCATATTCCAGAAGCCCAGGCTGGAGGTGGAGCGAGACTGAGCAACAGGAGCGGAGCGCAGCGTGTCCCCTGGGAGCCCAGCCACAGACAAAGCTTCCATCCACAGCAACCTCAGACAAAGGAAAGCATGTGGGCATGGGTGCCCCTTCCTCGCCTCCTCTCAGGAAAGGGTTAACAGCTGCCCTTCCCCTATGGGAAGCACGGAGGGAGTCTGATCACTCAGCACTGACAATAAAAAAGTGTCTTCTAATCGGAGCCTCTCCTAATGTTAACTCATTGGGGTAGAAGCCCTCCACCTCAGACACGCCCTTTCTTCCCTCTCATCCAATCAGACACACATATGCAAATAGGCATGTGGGGTTCTGGCTGGATGAGACCCCCAGGGAAGTCTACATAGAGGAAAACAACACAACCCCCTTCCTTCCAGTATCAGGAGAGAGCTGTGAGGAGCCCAGCACCATCACTGCACATACATGTCACATGTGAGACCAGCACCATCACATACATGTCACATGTGAGCCCCAGCACCATCACTGCACATACATGTCACATGTGAGACCAGCACCATCACTGCACATACATGTCACATGTGAGCCCAGCACCATCACATACATGTCACATGTGAGACCAGCACCATCACATACATGTCACATGTGTGAGCCCAGCACCATCACATACATGTCACATGTGAGACCAGCACCATCATGCACATACATGTCACATGTGAGCCCAGCACCATCACATACATGTCACATGTGAGCCCCCACCATCACTGCACATACATGTCACATGTGAGCCCAGCACCATCACTGCACATACATGTCACATGTGAGATCACCACCATCACATACATGTCACATGTGAGCCCAGCACCATCACATACATGTCACATGTGAGCCCAGCACCATCACTGCACATACATGTCACATGTGAGCCCAGCACCATCACATACATGTCACATGTGAGCCCAGCACCATCCATCACTGCACATACATGTCACATGTGAGCCCAGCACCAACACCATCACATACATGTCACATGTGAGCCCAGCACCATCACATACATGTCACATGTGAGACCATCACCATCACATACATGTCACATGTGAGACCAGCACCATCACTGCACATACATGTCACATGTGATACCAGCACCATCACATACATGTCACATGTGAGACACAGCACCATCACTGCACATACATGTCACATGTGAGCCAGCACCATCACATACATGTCACATGTGAACCCAGCACCATCACTGCACATACATGTCACATGTGAGCCCAGCACCATCACATACATGTCACATGTGAGCCCAGCACCATCACATACATGTCACATGTGAGCCCAGCACCATCACATACATGTCACATGTGAGACCATCACCATCACATACATGTCACATGTGAGCCCACCACCATCACATACATGTCACATGTGAGCCTGGCACCATCACTGCACATACATGTCTCATGTGAGCCCGGCACCATCACATACATGTCTCATGTGAGCCCAGCACCATCACATACATGTCACATGTGAGCAGCCGGCACCATCACATGCATGTCACATGTGAGCCCGGCACCATCACATACATGTCACGTGAGCCCAGGACCATCACTGCACATACATGTCACATGTAAGCCCAGGACCATCACTACACATACATGTCACATGTTAGCCCAGCACCATCACGGCACATACATGTCACATGTGAGTTCAGCACTATCACATCATCACATACATGTCACAGTTGAGCCTCAAATATTACATTCCATACTAGTGTCACATGTGAGCCCAGCACCATCACTTCACATAAATGTCACATGTGAGCCCAGAACCATCACTTCACACACATGTCACATGTGAGCTCAGCACCATCACTGCACATACATGCCACATGTGAGTCCAGCACCATCACATACATTTTACATGTGTGAGCCCAGCACCACTTCACTGTATATACATGTCACATGTGAGTCCAGCTCAGCCTCCCATGCACATACTTTGCATACTTGTCACATGTGAGCCCAGCACCATTACATACATGTCACATTAGAGCCCACCACCATTACATACATGTCACATGAGAGCCCAGTATGCATTAGATACATGTCACATGTGCACCCAATACGTTTTTCCTGGCATTTCAAGGGATAAATCCCCGTGACTTTATTTAACCCCTCATCACTCAGTAAGGTGACAGAACGGGGGATCCTGCATCTGGGAGCAGAACTCATCGCAGACCCCTCTTCTTTGTTTGTCTGGGTGGGGGAAGGGGGGTCGTCATTTACCAATGCCAGGAAGGGGGCTGATTTAGAAATTCCTCTCATTTACTCGGGGGCGGCTCAACCTTGGCTCACTGGCTGTGTAAGGGTTAACTGGTACAGGCATTTCCCTGTAGTCTGCACAGAGCTCACCATGGATGGACCGTCATGTCCTCCATGAAACAGGGAAACCTCCCTCCACAGACTACGGAACAGGGAAACCTTCCTCCACTGACTATGAAACAGGGAAACTTTCCTCCACCGACTACGAAACGACTACGAAACAGGGAAACCTCCCTCCACCGACTACGAAACAGGGAAACCTCCCTCCACCGACTACGAAACAGGGAAACTTTCCTCTACCAACTGCGGAACAGGGAAACCTCCCTCCACAGGGACTACGGAACAGGGAAACCTTCCTCCACTGACTACGAAACAGGGAAACCTCCCTCCACCGACTACGAAACAGGGAAACTTTCCTCTACCAACTGCGGAACAGGGAAACCTCCCTCACACAGACTACGGAACAGGGAAACCTCCCTCCACAGACTTTCCTATGGAACAGGGAAAACCTTCCTCCACCGACTACGAAACAGGGAAACCTCCCTCCACCGACTACGGAACAGGGAAACCTCCCTCCACCGACTATGGAACAGGGAAACCTCCCTCCACCCACCGACTACGGAACAGGGAAACCTCCCTCCACCGACTACGAAAACAGGGAAACCTTCCTCCACCGACTACGGAAACAGGGAAACCTCCCTCCACCGACTACAAAACAGGAAACCTCCCTCCACCGACTACGAAACAGGAAAACCTCCCTCCACCGACTTCCTCCACCGACTACCAGGGAAACTCCACCGACTACAAAACAGGGAAACCTCCCTCCACCGACTACAAAACAGGGAAACCTCCCTCCACCGACTACAAAACAGGGAAACCTCCCTCCACCGACTACGAAACAGGGAAACTCCCCTCCACCGGAACAGGGAAACCTCCCTCCACTGACTACGGAACAGGGAAACCTCCCTCCACCGACTACGGAACAGGGAAACCTCCCTCCACCGACTACGGAACAGGGAAACCTCCCTCCACCGACTACGGAACACGGGAAACCTCCCTCCACCGACTACGGACAGGGAAACGGAAACCTCCCTCCACCGACTACGGGAGCAACCTACGGAACACGGAGAAACCTCCTCCCTCCACCGACTACAGAACAGGGGACTACGGAACGGAGAAACCTCCCTCCACCGACGACGGAACATGGGGACACGGAGAAACCTCCCTCCACCGACTACGGGACACGGAGAAACCTCCCTCCACCGACTACGGGACACGGAGAAACCTCCCTCCACCGACTACGGGAACGGGAAACCTCCCTCCACCGACTACTACAGGGGACACGGAGAAACCTCCCTCCACCGACTACGGGACACGGAGAAACCTCCCTCCACCGACTACGGGACTACGGAAACAGAAACCTCCCTCACCGACTACAGAACACCGAACGGGGAAACCTCCCTCCACCGACTACACAGGGGACACGGAGAAACCTCCCTCCACCGACTACAGGGACGACTACGGACTACGGAAACAGGAAACCTCCCTCCACCGACTACGAACCGACTGCACGGAACGGGAAACACGGAGAACAGGGAAACCCTCCCTCCACTCCCTGACTCCACCGACTACGGAACAGGAAAACCTCCCTCCACCGACTACGGGGGAAACCTCCCTCCCTCCACCTCCACCGAACAGGGAAACCTCCCACCGACTGTCCAGGAACAGGGAAACCAACTACGGAACAGGGAAACCTCCACACGAAACCTCCTACAGAACAGGGAAACCTCCCTCCACCGACTACAGAACAGGGAAACCTCCCTCCACCGACTACAGAACAGGGAAACCTCCTCCTCCAACCGACCTAGAGAACAGGGAAACCTCCCTCCACCGACTACAGAACGAAAAACTACCTCCCTCCCACCGACTACAGAACAGGGAAACCTCCCTCCTCCGACTGACAGAACAGGGAAACCTCCCTCCACGACTACAGAACAGGGAAACCTTCCTCCACTGACTATGGAACAGGGAAACCTGTTGTAACATTTATAATGGCTTTATACTGAGCCTTTTTTTTGGGGGAAATATCATTTATGAGAGAACTTCACCTCTTAATAAAGATATTTATTTTTTATCTCAACTCTGAAGGTGATCCCACAGACATGGATTTGTTCCATATTTCCTCAATTCATAAAGAAAGCTTCTTGTTTGATCACTAAGGATTCCCACCTCCCTAAACTTTGGTTGAACCATTATTCATAGGTATAGGGAAGTGACCTTGGCCCAGAGAGCTTATATCCTTCAGATCAGATTTTTTTCTAAATTTTACATATGTAAGCTGGGCCCTGATTCGTCACCAGCTACACTCATGCTGGTCAGGGGTCCCTCCCACCATCCTCCTGCACAGGAATCGCTATCTGAGGTTCCTCAGATTCTCCAGGCCTGAGTCCCACCTCCAGAAATAGGGAATGTCCTCATATTCAGCCTTTTACCATTTTACTGCAGCAGGAACATCATCAAC